GGGGGGGGGGCTTCGAAATGTATACATCCTTATGAAGATTTTTTAAAAAAAGTACACCAAATCAAATGATCTCAACAATGCAAATGACGGCATTGCGATCACGACAATCGGCTACGTATAGTTCTTAAAGGCTGTTTATGTGCAACACGTCGAGCAATGTTGGTAGTTCAACACGTTGAAGCCTAACGCATTTTACACCAAACGGGAATTTGCTTAACTTAATTTCAGAGGTTAAATGCGTTGAAGTTGCAGTTTTAACGTACTGAACATTTCAACACATTGATTTATTTAGTTTTTGACATCAACAAACCTTTCGTCTGAACTTTTGAAAATGAACAGGATAACATGAATGCAAAGTCAAAAGGGCTAATCTTTAAAAGATATGTATTCTAAAATGGACCGACATAATTATAAACTAAATTCATATTGCCCCTGACAAAAGGATGCGATGGTCACCCCTGAGCGGAGAGTGATACCGGACACTTCATGGGCTGCATAGAATGTTGCAGGTAGATGGAACACATGGGCTGCATAGAATGTTGCAGGTAGATGGAACACGAGGGGGTTAGAGTAAAAAAGTTCAACTTCACCCAAAAGTTATCTTCCCTTGCACATATTTTGGCTGAAGTCGATTAAAATTACAAGATCTTGCCAAAAAAAACCATCCTGAAACTAGACTTACAAATTAATTAAAGTGTGTATGTGAAGTAGTCATTTAATGACGTAACCATTTACCATTTTGAGCATAATTCTTGTATTGCTAATTATAATTAAGAACATAATGAGTTTCCTTTTCTATTGTACTTGCAACTCGATTAAGAATTTTTCTTTAACATTTTACATGTGATCTAAATGTTTTATACACGGTAGATTAAATATGTCTATGCACCCTATGTGAAATATTCAAACGCTGAATTTTGGGGTCAAAAATACTACTAGTTTTTACGGCATACTTCCCACCTCTCAATGGAAAACTGGGGGCAATAAATCACTTGCTACCACAGTCCACTGCACACCTAATCCCCTTTCATGGCCAATCATGATTACATGACCGTGGACTGGGGTCACAAATGCTGTAAGAAAGGGGAGATTATCAATAAGTAATGATGAAGTCAATACAGTGCAAAGGATAAACTTAGTTGACACATTTGAAAAAGAAAACAAATCAATAAATAAAGTTTAAAATGGTAATTTTCTGATTGAAAACGATTTTTTTTTTATTGAGTTGGCAGCGTTATTGATTTCCTTATCACGTGAGAGGATAAGCATTTCCAGGGAAAAGTTTATAATCTTTAGGAGCTGTTTCTTTATACAAAATTGCACATTCAAATGTACCATTCATTGAAAGAACTGGAACTCCTTAGGGATTGATAAACTCTTACATTGTATGTATGAAAATGGTTTCAATATCCTGTACCTTTGCCACATCTTGAAAATTTAACTGAAAATGTAGTCAGAAA